TTACCAGAACCTCCAGTGATAATTACTCGAAGACCCATGATCAATAATTAAGGTATCAAGAGAAAGGATGGTTTGACATAGCAGTAACGATTCTTGACCAGAGACAAGTCCTTTTAGCGACCAGGTTTGTGGAGATGACCAGGTCCTCAGGGACATCTTCCCCGCTTCCCCGCGCGAGATCGTGGAGATCCAGAGCTGAAGACCGGCAAAGCATATTTCCATCTGTAGAGTGAGCTTAATCATACTCAAAAGACTGAGATGATAACCGAACTAGATATCATGATTTGGATCAGTGTTCAAGTGAGGAAGAGCGAAACACCTGGACAAGCATTCGAGGGAAAAGATCGAGCATATATAGTGTAAATTATAGAGCACGCGTATATATGGATGGTCAATTAGGGAAATGCCTGAAAGAGGTTCAAGACGCAGATTTTTCAGAGATCTGAGCCTCTGTCCATTCCCACAGTCTCTTTGCCATGTCCGCATCCGTGGAATATTTGTTGTTCTTAGCATGAACACCGATCGGAATGTAGTATGCTCCATTGGTCAAAAGCTCCCTCTTGACCCCAGCAGCCCATAGCTGGTTTAGAGCGCCTGAACGTACTGACCGAAAGAAAAGTGAGAGAGCAGCAACGCCGCCTTTCGTGACGGGATCCGACGCCTTCGCATGCTCGTACAAGTTGCTGGTCACAGCACCAGGATGAATGGAGACAGAGAGGATCTCCGGGTACCGGCGAGCAAGCTCAGACGCGAATAGAATATTGGCAGCCTTTGAAGCGGCATAGCGTATCCAAGTACTAGCAGCCAACAGCGCATCCGTGGATGTCATGACATCGTACGACGGAGCGACGCAGTTGGCCAAAGAGGACAGAGTTACTACCCTCACGTCGGTTGAGGAAGGGCTGGCAGCAGTCTTTCGCAATACCGGAAGCAGCAATTTCGTGAGCAGAAAGTGACCGATATGGTTTGTTCCAAATTGCACTTCAAATCCTTCTTCTGTCGTTGTTGGCGGGTTGCCCATGGTACCAGCGTTTAATATCAGGACGTCTAGGCGATCGCAGTCCGAGGTAAATTTCTCAGCAGCGCTGCGAATCGACGCGAAAGATGCTAGGTCGAGAGGAATATGTCTGATATCCGCAGGGGCCGAAAGCTGCTCCTGAATGTCGGCGATGGCATCGCGAGCTTTTGTCGCATTGCGCGCACCCAGGTATATGCGGGATGGACGATGGTGCGCGAGCTGAAGGATTGTTTCTTTTCCAAGGCCAATGTTCCCTATCAAAGAGGACACGGAATCAGCAAATCATGGCAACCATAGGGGACCCTTAAAGGACACGGTCTTGATGGTTACCTCCAGTAACAAAGATCACCTTGCCGGAGAGATCGGTGATATCACGTTTCGGGTCAAAAGACGCGCCCAAAAGACCGAAAGTCGATTCATTCAACGTAGGGCCGACGCTGGAGTAGAAATCCAGCGGGTGAAGGATAGCATGGGATGCGAAGGAGGCAGCCAAAGCAAAGTCGCTAAGGGGCATATTGCAGGATAAAGATATCAGCCTAGCCAAATTTATCACAAAGACGCTCGACGTTCTCCTTTCGCTAGAATTGTTTGCAGTTGTCCATGATAAGGTAAAGGTGCTTTGAAGCCACCATGGTTCAGATATGCGGACAGAGTTTCTGGATCGGCGACCGAGGCTCGTCTCCCATGGCACAAATGTTGACTACGAACAGGGGGCAGAACTAGTGATGCTACCAGCCTACTATGTAAACAGCTGACCAGTTATACAGTTACAGCTATGCGAAAGTCCTTTGATGGGTTGTTAGACGCAGAAGCATCAGACTACAGATTGCGACCAGGCTGCAGGACCCATAAGTTGTGGTTAGGTAGTTTCCGTGTAAGCCAAAATGGGGGCCATGAGAGTCATGCATATAGAAACTGGTCATCTCCTTGCTGCAGCCAGCTCACACTCCTTGTACTCTACCGCATACGCATAACAAGACAGATCGCCCTTAACTTCTAGTCCTCCTAGCCTTGGGTCAACGTCAATTTGCTTGGAAAAAGGCAGAAGATGCGCTTTCTTTGTCTACACGGCGCGGGGACAAGCGCTGAAGTATGTTATATCAGACCTGGATGTGCAAATGGTAAAAATAGGAGGCTGACTGTCAAGGATAGATCTTCGAGATTCAGTCAGGTATTTGAACCCCGCCCAAAGACTATTTTCGGAATTGCCGGTATCATCGATCCATGCAGTAACAATCAAGCACAGGCGGAATCACCCAAGAGCTGGAAAGTAAGGGCCACAAGTTTGTATTCGTCAATGGACGAGTGACCTCCAAACCTGAAGCCGGTCCGTAGACATGTCGAGAGTTTCAATCTGCTACAACTCTAGTCCTCTAACCCAAGTCACAGAAATCGAAGGCGTTCTAGACGGCCCGTTCTACAGCCACTACCCCCGCGATGTTTACCCCGGCGAAGATCTTGCCCGGGCATTCGAGTACACACTCGACATCATCGAGAAGCAAGGCCCCTTTGATGGCGTGATGGGCTTCTCTCAGGGCGCTGCGCTCGCATGTGCTCTTATGGCCAGCCTTGCCAAAACCGATTCGAAACCTCTCTTCAAGGTCGCCGTGTTCATCTGCGGTGCGACACCCTACGAAAGCTCTGGGCTTAAAGAGCTTGTTGCCGAGGACGGGAAATACCCCATCACGATCCCAACAACGCACATCGTGGGTAAGCAAGATCCGTATTACAAGGCAAGTATGCATCTGTACGGTATGTGCGACCCATCTAAGGCCGTTTTCTACGACCATGGTTCAAAGCATCATATCCCGTTTGACCAGGCGAACACTACTGCCATGGTGTCCGCCATTGAGAAATCCATCAAGCGGGCTTTGAATAACGAGTAGTTAATTTGGCGCGGCTTGTGGTGGTTGGACGCACAATGATAGACCATGATTATGATAGAGTCGCGAAAGGAGACAATTTCTGTGACCTAGTCCAGTGTAGCAAGTTCTAGTACTATGCCATTGCATTCGAAGGTGTCACTCGATCACAGGATGCCGATGTTCAACGCTGCTTATTAGAAACAGCTCGTATATTTCTATCTCTTGCGCTAAATATCATCAATAGGATTGCAAACAGTAAAATTAAGACACCGAAGACATGATCTTTCAAATATGATCTTGCTAAAGTCTGAGTCTGGATATGGTCATCAAGTCATAATCCCGCAGAAGCCTGCCCGTCGTCCTCCGGAGGGATAACCTTCTGAAGGAATCGCGTCAGGTCCTCAATCTCTACCGGGTCGGCGGAGTGGCCCAAGTCACTGAAAAAGAAAAATAAGCAAAGACCAATTACGACGCGGATATGCGGAGAACTCACGGATAAGACTTGAAAGTGACATCCTCCAAGCCGATCTCTTTCATCCTTTTCGCCGACAAATCACCGAAGTCGTACAGCACGACTTCATCTTCCAAGCCGTGAGCGAGGAAGAAAGGAGTCTTCTTGTTCGGCCAATCTTCCGGAATGTAATTCTTGATCTTGTCACTGAGAACAAGATAACTGGACAGACCGAAGACACCACCAAGCTTTTCTTTGCAAGTAATACCAGTAAAGACGGATATGGCAGCTCCTTGGGAGAAGCCACCCAGAACGATCCGTGAGGGCTTAATGCCCTTATCAATCTGTTCCTTGATCAAAGTGTTGAAGTATTCGCGAGATCGAAGGATACCCGGCTCGTCCTGGTGCCGAATGGCTGATTCATAATCGAGCTATTGCGATAAATATGTTAGAAAATAGATCTCATCTCCAATGGCAAAGTAAGCAAGGGGTATCTCACATCGCGCCCAATCTTCGTCAAGTCGTGCCATCCAGGCATCGTCATTCCAAAGTTCTGATTTAACAAACAATTAACCGCGACTCCGCAAATAGTTGTATGACATAGGAATCATCTCAGCATACCACTGTGATTGGGATCATAGGCGCGTTTGGGAAGATGAAAGCCACCTCATCGAACATGCCGCGGCGACGCCAGTTCTGAGCAAGAGACATCCTTTGTGATAATACGAGTCAACTAGACCACTCCGACAAAACCTCCTCAAAAAGAGAATCTTACCATCCTGCGCCACTAAGAGAACAGGCAGTAGAAGTCAGTCAAGAGTCAATGGCTTAGTACCACAGCAAGCAGCTAACCTGTCGCCCAGTCCATGGGCCATGATGACCGTCGCCGTGTGCTTCTTGAGCGCCGGCACAATGTACGGTGCGCGCGGTGCCATTCTGGGAGTAAGAAAATTATGGCAAGACCGCAGTAGAAGTCCAAACGATCCTGATAAGCACCGAAGTAGAGAGTGAGAAAGATGTAAGAATGGAGTTGCAACTCAATCCCTCAGGCACAATAAACCCCGCGATTCTGCCGCCGAGGTTGCACGGGGCTTCACCGCCCGATACGACTAAGAGATGGCCCTATTCCTGCATGCCCTCATTGGGAGATTCTGGAGTTGTTACAGATTAGTCGAAAAGCTTACAAATGTTTCTGCGATACTCGCGCAGAAGGGTGCCCCCTGCAGGCTAATCTAGTAGTTGTGGATGTCAGTCGGGTACTGGGTAGCGCTGACTGCCCGGCGGACTTTGTATGGTCTAAGCAATGGCGGTTCTTCTTCGATACTTAACAGGCAGTTACTTTTATGGTAAGTTTACTGAAAGGAAATACCAAGTCAAAGATAGGTATCCATTGACCGGCCGCTGTGTCACGTAGGGCTCGACAGGATAAGTGGGACTGGCCTATCAATCAACACTAGTTCTTGGGCAATGGAGATTTTATCATCCTGTTGCGTCCTTCGCAATTTTATGTACACCCTTGCTAATCAAAATGAACGCTTCGTTGAAATCCACAAACTATTTCGGAGCTTCATTTGTCCGTGGAGTACGAGGTAGGAAGGAAAGGTATAGGAATGTACTACATTGAGCGAGACGTTAGAGTATACCGGCGCACGAGGCAAATGAATAATTAAGAACAAAGGTTGAACAGCTCTGTCCTGATCGAGTCAATGACAGCAGACATCAAATCCAACTCTACAACACGGGTCTGCCATGTAAAAGCCAACACCATACACCGATCACCACCCGTGATAACAGAAACCTCCAACGCATTCCCAGTGACACTTGCACTCTGAGAGAAGACCATTCTTCCAATCCGCGGTTTGGTGGGATCTTGATCCGCAGCCAGAACGCCAACGTTAGAAACCTCAAAGCTGCTTTTCCTTGCCTTGCCGACCTTAGACAGGAAGAGGTCTTCGTGGATGTTATCCACGTATTTGAGAAGGTTGGGATTGGCGTCTTTCCCCTTCAAACTCAGGACATTCTCAATGGTTTGCCGCGCGCGTCTTGCCTCCTCCCATGGGAAGCCGTCACTTGTAACTTTACTGCGGGAGAATGTGTCCTCAAAATCCTGGACCCAGACGCCCATTGAATCATCCGTGATAATGTCAGGCAGCCACCTCCGCGTTGACATAGCACCAGTGCACTTGACGCTCGTGAACTTTTCGGGAAGACGAGCCAAAAGCGAGCGAGCAATGGCGGTTTCCAACACTGCGGTGATGGTGGTGTTGTTCTGACGACAGCAGTCCTTCAGGGATGAAGTGACATGTTCCGGGAAGACGATATGACGCACTTGGGTCTCCAGGGGTACGATGATCTCTGAGCCGGTCCAGAGCCCAGGGTCTGCCCATGACCAAACTTTCTCCTTGAACAAAGTGGTACCAAGGTAGAAAATGGACAGCGGGTGTGGATGGACTGCCTCGGAATTTGGCAGCAGCGGTACCTGAGGTGGAGCTATGACTGTTTTGACTTCTTCGGGGGCTACTGATGGGGCGGTTTCATGCAATGCCTGGAGGAATGTTTTGTGGAAGGCTTTGCCAGATGTTCCATCACCAATTGCATGGTGGTATACGAAAGCAGCCGTAAACCGCCGTTCGTTTGTAGCATCGGTCAACACACAGAGTCTCCAGTAGGGCAATGGCGATGTAAAAGGCGTGTTATGCTGCGCAGTCAGAAGCGTCTCCAACTCAGTGTCTGGCTCATCTGCTTCTGGAAAATCATGGGAGCGCTTCTCAAACGAGACCGATTTCTCCAAATCAATCTCTGGAAGACGCGCAAAGTAAGGTTCGTTGGTGTCTTCGCCCACCGGGATAGCAGATAGAATTGGATGTTGGCCAATGAGTCTTCCACAGGCTGTGTATACATAGTCCTTCACGGGGGAATTGTAGGTTTCCGGAAGAGTGTAAGTAGCCGCAATAGACACGTTCAAATAGAATTTGAGATGATGTCTTGCTGTGGAGTACCTCTCTAACAGACCTGAGGATGGTCAGCCTTAGGGTGCAACAAATAGAAGCAAGGTGCTTACTGACCAACTGCACGCAGCCGCTCAAATTGGTCCATATTCGAATTATCAAGCAACATTTTATAAATTTATATCTCTCCACAGTTTCTTGGTTATTCGGGAATTGTTTAGATGCACAGGTTTCTGAATGCAAGAGCTGGATACGATCTCATTGCAGCCTAGACAGTAACACACGTGACTTTTACTCCCGTAAGCTCACGATAATGCCAAATCTCAGAAGATTATCTTAAAAGCTATACTATAATAGGTCCTTCGTTATATCACTTGTTGATTCCAGCAATAAGCGCGCATATGGTACAATTGGGCATGCAGTATCGTCAATTCATCTTCATCCGTCACTATCACTATCACAGAGTCCATTGAGTCGCATAAATCATTTCATATTGTATGGATCAATCATCTACAGAACGGCAAGGCCACCAACAACGGCTGCACCCAGGATTCCCCAGGCAGCAGTCTCCAGAGCGACAGCCCCAGCAGTCGAGGATGCAGTGGTTTTCGAGGTTTGGGTAGCCGAGGAGCCGGAGCCGGAGCTGGAGCTGCCGCTCTGGGCTTGACCATCGGCAGTGGATTCGTTGGCATTGCGCTGGGCGGCGGCACCGGTGAATGCAACAGCGGAAATGCCAGTGTTGTTCGTGCAGGACGAGGGTTCTTCATACTGTGCAGTCGAAGAGAACTGGATGTCGGCGCACTGGAAGTTGTCAGTCTGCTGCTTCTTGGCGTTCACCTAGGTCAAGGACAATCAACATACGGCGTAGAGACCTCCGCTGGGATCACCATTGCTCTGCACCTGCAGAGTCGCGTTCATGCCGTCGGTTATGTTCGTGCCCAGCACAGACTTGTCAAACACGACATGAGGCAGACAGAATTCGCCCAGTCCTTCAAGACGGAAAGTGGGATGAAGAGTAATGTTGAAATTGGTGCCCGGATCGTTTCCAAGAGACAGGAGGATCTCAATAGCGGTCTGATCGTGGCCCATCCTCAAGGCAACAGGGAAGGAACCCGAGGAAATAGACACTTGAGTCCTGTTGGAGGATTGGGTCATGCCACCGCAGGGAAAGGTGGGCATTTTGTCCTCATCGAAGCCGCGACTCGTTGGATATTGGAGTTGAAAGTGAGCGGCGACAATTGGCGCGAAGGAAAGCAGGTAAGCAGGAGAGAACTTCATTGTGGCTCTGATGTTGATTGTTCAGGGTATGAGGATGATGAGGTGGTAGTTGAAGTCTTAGGAAAGAGGGGATTGTAAAGGGGAGGAAGTAGGATTTTGATGTCTTCCTAGAAGTGAATATGGTTAAACAATTGTGTAATTGTAGGAGCTGTCAGTGTCACTAGGATACCTGGTTGCTCTTTATATACAAGGTAGCATTGAATGATTCAGTTATTGTACGGAAACTGCGGAGCTGCAAGGTCAAGCCTTGATTTCCACATGAAGTATCTCTCCTTATTAGTACCCAGTCTAGCCCCGATTTTTGAGAGACAGTTGGTCAGTCCATCTAACATACTCGACCTATTTATCTGTGATTCAGTGACAATTTCCATTTCTTTGGCTCTACCACAGAAGTATCAATGATAGCTGGGTTGGCCMTATTCTGTCTTGGACGTAGCAGCCCCACGTAATTTTTTTGGCGTGTTACAGTCTGAGCAGAAATGAGCAAATTATTTAACCTTATCAGGGTTAGCCGCCCGGACCCTGCACGCCGGCTAAATTAAATTGGCCAATGACTGTCGATGCTTAGGTTACAGCTGCCGAAACTCGTTAAGCTAGGATTTGGAGTTGCAGATTGTTTGGGAATCTTGGCGTGGAGTGCGAAGTTGCCATCGCCCAGATTTTATTTTCTGCGACAGAATCGCCGAAAAGAAATATACAGTGAGCAGAATACAGCTGGACGTCAGTAAAGATGATAGCACTCCCGTAGCGAGCCTAATAAACGGCTATACAAAAGCTAGGGCGTTGAGGGTAGCTGGATTGCGAAAGTATCATTGAATTTGGGTTCAAGGTCTCTACCTTGCATAGATGTGAGACAAGTGCGACACATCGCCTCAAGAAGCGAATGTATTCCATTGTCTGAGTGGTAAATAGGTAGTAGGTGTTGAGATGAAAGCAAGAGATTATATCGAGGTTTAACCCAATGCTGATAATGCCGCATAATGTTGTCGCTGAACTCCATGACGCCGTTGCTAAATCCAGAACTGACAATTTTAAACATATTCATATCATTCTAGTGATCGTGTTCATTCCATTGGATGTACCGTCCCACCGCCAGCTCTCCGAGGAAAGCACCAGCAAGAACGGAGCAGAAATAGCCCACATTCATTGTCATCACGGCTAACATGCTGGAAGTGAAGTTAGCCAGGGGTCACGCAAGGACAGAAAGAGGGCGTGCATCAAACATACAGCAGGTAGGACACGCCTGTGATACACAAGAAGATAGCTGCCCGTGGAAGGTCGACGCTGAACCTCCAGGGAATAGGCTCTCGCGAAACTCGTCGCACGACCTTTACTGACTCTTCCACTCCTTGAGCAGTTACCAGAGAAGCGACCTTCGCGTCAGGGTCTGTGTCGACACGACCGGCTTCAGATGTTTTCCCCGCTATGGCGACGTAACGGCGATTGAGATGAGTCGCAAACCAGTAGTGCTCCATGGAGGCTTTGAAAGCGACTAAGCAGCGATTGATGATGGCCAGGATGATGAGGAAGATACAGGTGCCTGCATAAGCACCGCTAGAAGACGGTGTCCATGCCGAGGAGTACAACGGAGTGTCATGACTGTTGGTGAAGACCATAGTCATAGTCATTGATGAAGAGGAAGACATGCTCGAATGGCTCGAGTGGTCCATGTTCATGTCTGCTGTCTATGTTTTATTGTTTTAATAGAATGCTTGCGAAGTGACCAGGGCGATAAGTTAGCTGGTCAATCCCCGTACCCGAGGGTCGTACTGCAGACGTGGTTATGGACTTGGGAAGAAGGAAACTGGACAACAACGAGTAATGACATGCACGATTGACGAAAACGATGCGAGCACAGTAAGTTTAAAGCTGTCAATTCTGAAATGGATCCGGCCCCCTTCCGGGCGGCGGGGATGTTTGAGCATGTTTCTCTGCGTTCAGAAATGGGTGTGTGGGCGGGTTGAGCACATTTTCGAGGCCTACACCCAATCAGCACTGAGTATTTTGGCTATTCCGCAACGTCTTCAGATCTAGATTGCCCGAGATGAGCAGATTATTAGTGGGCAACTGCTTGTAATTGATTTATCTATGATTAATGTTAAGACATTTTCCCGAGTTTATCTCTTGGCTCCATTTTGTAGTAAGAATGCTACGCCGCCACGCATTCTTTACACTCTCACCAACGCTTTCTGTCGCTGATGCTCATGCGATGGCGGTCTCGGAAAACTGATGATCAAAAACTGATAATACTCTCGGGATCAGATCAGATTAATCTGTACGACGACTACKGACAGCTCAAGCAGTACAATCTCGTCCATGTTCGCTGTCATACTGAATACAACCACCGCCGCGTTTTAGAGTTGCAATGAGAAGCGGCCAGCCAGCCGGAGGATAGGAAATCTCTCGTCGCACAGCGCACATCGACCCCCTTGCTTCCGTAAAATATCTGAGCTGTTCGACACCGCAGCCATGGATGGCATGTCGATGAATGGCATGGGCCATATGTCCATGGGCGATGGGGTGCCGGACGTGTTCTACCTTCAGCGGATGTACTGGGCCGTTGTCGGTAGTGCTATTGCTGCTGGAACTGTTGCCAACGTACTTAATCGCTTCTTAGCATACCAAAGGTGGGTTGCAGAGTCCATTGAAGAGCTTTGAGAAACCCGGTTGCTCAATTCGACACAGATTACGCGATTCGACTCTCACACCGTCCAAGCCGAAATCGCTCTTTTTCAGCTCTTATGCCACATTAACAGCTGTGGTTCGTGAAGCGAGCTACGCGACCTTGCCTCCCATAACGATTCGCGGTCGATCGTTACACTTTGCTCCTCTGGGACCGATAGCCATCATCCTGGCCAACCTCGTAGTGGTCCTCCTTTTTTGCTTTTACAAATTGGATACGACGAATGTATGGAAATGGGAAGACGTCGGCTACCGAACCGGCTTTGTCGCCATTGCCCAGCTGCCATTGATCTTTCTGCTGGCGGGAAGACAAAACATCATTGGATTGTTTGTGGGGTTGAGCTATGAGCGCCTGAACTGGTTCCACCGTTGGATTTCTAGGACTCTATGGTTGACTGCGACCATTCACATGGGCTTTTGGTTCCGAAACTGGGCCCGATATGACTATATCACGTATCAGCTGCGGAACGACGTGCTGACACAGCGCGGATTTGCTGCATGGTGCATTTTGACTTTCATCGTCGTCTCATCAGCGGCGCCAATTCGAAGACTGAGCTATGAGCTGTTCGTCTTGCAGCATCTGCTAACGTTCGCTGGGTTCCTTGCTGCAGTCTGGTTCCATGCGCCGGCAGAGGTCAAGGCTTGGGTATGGATTTCCATAGGATTTCTGGTATTTGATCGGGTAGCTCGGTATGCGTGGGCAACTTATGCCAACCTGTCGATCTTCCATGCGTCGAAATCAAGTCGGCATTCTCTCTGGGCAAACGTCGCAACTTTCACTCCATTACCTGGCAACGTCACCCGAATTACAGTCGAGAACCCAGGTGTTCGGTGGAAGCCCGGACAGCATGTGTTTCTCACTTGCCACTCCATCGTGCCTCTACAAAGTCACCCGTTCACCATCGCTTCGATTCCGGACGACGGCAAGATGGAATTCTTAGTGCGAGCCGAAAAGGGTGGTACAAGGCGGTTCTTCCATTACGCCTCGAAGCACCATCCCGCCATTGGGTCCGGAGATGCATCACCTGCCCAGCGACCTCGTACGGTGTTTATCGACGGTCCCTACGGCACAATCCGACCCCTGAGGCAATTTGACAGCGTCGTTCTCCTCGCAGGCGGCATGGGGGCCACCTTTACCATTCCCCTATTGCGGGACATTGTTGCAGGGTGGAAAACAGAATGTCTAGGAAGTTCTACGCGTCGCCTTGCCGCCACCAAGCGAATTCGCTTCGTGTGGGTCATCAAGTCCCGCGCCCAACTCAGCTGGTTTGAGTCTCAGATCCAGTCCGTATTATCCGACGTCGACGAATGCCGACGCGCCCAGCCTGATGTGATCAGAGAATTGGAAGCGAGTATCTATATCACTTGCGATGAGAAGCTGGAGCAGCAGCCACCGAAAACCGCCTGTCTACAGCCACCATCCCCTCCGACCGAAGCCCCGAAGGCCATCGAACCCGGCAAAGAGGAATTCTCCGAAAAGAACAACCCCATCTCCATCAACTCCGTCTCCGCGTCAAGCTCAAGCGGACAAGACCCCGCGACCACAAGCGGCTGCCTACCCGGCGGAGGCTGCTGCTGCACAGCTGCGGTAGAAGACGAGGACGAAATCACAGAACACAGATGTACCTGTTCTGGAAACGCTCCGGCATCACAACCCTCGGAGCCAACCCCAACGGCTGCAGCCGACGGCGACGAAAAGGTCCAAACCGAAGCATCAGAACCCGCGCAATCCCACCACCTCAACCTCCTATCTGGCCGACCGCAGCCACGCACCATCATCCGCAAGGTCCTCGAAAAAGCAGAAGGCGAGAGCGCAGTTGTTGTATGTGGACCAGAAGGACTCTCAGACGACGTCCGCCGCAGCGTGGTGTATCTCAGCGACGAACGGGCGGTCCACAAGGGGACCGGCGCCCAGGGGATCTACCTCCACGTCGAAGCATTCGGCTGGTAACCGTGTTCATGTTCATATTCACGATTGACGAAGTCCATAAATATATATACTGTAGATATTGTCTTCAATTAATCCCATCCTGGTAATACGCCGTCCCTGTACCTCACCTGTACCGGTACCTTGAGAGGTCCCCGTAGAAGAAGCTATGACCACTCCCATGACGTAATCACATCACCACCCTCCAAACCCACCACAACTCACCTCACCTTACCTCTACCATCCATCAAACACAGCACAATACACAACACACAATCCAACACCTCATCAATCCAGTCCAACCCAGAACCAATCCCAAAATGGTCTTCCGCTTCGTACGTATCCCTTCCCTCACACCCACCCAGGAGCCATAACGACAACTAATAACCCCAAAGCCCAAGTCCCTCGACCCCATAACTCTCTTCCACAACCCCGCCCTCGCCTCCTCCAAACGCGTACACAATATCCTCAGACAAGCCTCGGCCACCGCCTCCGAAACCGCAACAGAGGACCAAGCAAGCGACTACATCGAGCACGCGAAGCGGCAGCGGGGCGAGTTCCAGCTGGAGGTGACGACCGCGCCGCCGACGCCGGACCAGCTGCGGAATATCCTCGACTATGTGGGTGGGGGTGTGAAGCCGTCGGATCTGGTGCAGGGGGCGAAGGATGCCAAGGATGCATTGGAGTTGTTCAAGAAGGATGAGGGAAAGTTTGTGAGGCCGGTGGTATGTTCTTTTTTCCCTTTCCCTTTTTCATTTTTATTCTTCGAGGGCGTGATGGGATGGCTAACAATGGATTGCGGTACGTAGACTGTTGACTGGAACCATGGAAATGCGGTTGTTGGGGATAATGAATCGGAGATCCTCAGGATGGTACATCAGCTGGACGTGGATTAAGCTCGGGCGGCATTATCTGAAAGTCCGACAAGAAAAAGATGAAAAAATAGACTATTGTTTTCAACCTGACTCCTAAGCCTACGCATACCGACTTTCTATGTATCATACACGCAATAATCAATACACGCACAACTCCAGCCCCATGTATCCCAGGCCCATTTGGTGACCGATGAGTATGCATACAGAAAACCATTTAAGAGACGCCGCAAAACCAGTTTGATCATGGTCAATTCGAGATCCAGCTCGATGCCAGAATACGTTCGTACGCGAAGAGAAAGGACATTTGCAGGGGCTTCATCTCGTCTAGAACATGGTTCCGAACGACCCGTCGGTAGCGATCGGCTTCCGCGGCGAGCTTCGGCCAGTCGAATCCACGGCGGGTTTGCGATGACTGTCATGGTTGTTAGGAATATGAACGTCTTCTCCCAGCAGAATAGGGTGGAACATACCGGAATGTAAACCCAACAAACAAGCCCTTGCTCATCTTCTCTTCCCTTTCGGCCATCTCCTCGAGTGCACGCTGTTTCTCGTGGACCTCCTTGTATTTGGCCATGTCTGCTTCGTTGCTGAAATCGTCAAAGTAGCCGGCGTCTGTCTCTGAATCCAGCTCTGGTACGAATGGCGCCTTCTGCTCGCGCAGGCGACTAAAGTCAACCTCGCTGAAATAGTCATGCGCGTGGATTTCCTGGATGCTCTTGGCTCTGTTCTCCTTGGCCGCCACGAGCTTGGTGATGAGACCCCAGGTGCGTCGCGAAAGGAAATAGTTGGGATCCTCGTATACAGGCTTCCGGAGTACCTTTTGCCAATTCTTCAAATTCTGCCACGTTTCATCGACCGTAGCCCCCGCAAAGGGCGGGTATCCAGCCAAGGCTTCGAAGAGCATACACCCCAAGCTCCAGTAGTCAACCGTAAAGTCGTATTCCTCACCCTTCAATACCTCCGGCGCCATGTAATCAGGCGAACCAACAATCGATTTGGCATAGTTGACTTGACGCTCTCGAAGCGACCGGTATCCCTGACGTCGCTCGGCTGCAGTCCGCTGCTCCATCGGGCGACCAAAGGGAACCGGGGTATTGCCAACTTCCTCCAGCTTCACACGCATGGACTCAATCTTTCCTGGATTCAGCATCCCCGCCGCCAAGCCAAAGTCCGTTAGCTTCACATG